CGTGCTGACGTAGTCGAATTTTCTCACTTTGTCGTGCTTCAGCACAACTTCTTAATCCGTGTGAGCAGAGGTGGTCTGCAAAGTTATTTTCTCAGGTTTGCCCCACCGTGCATGCAGTCCGTAAACTTTTTCCAACTAGCAGTCTCCTTGTTTCCTGCGCTTCCGAAGCCACTTAGCATGCACAAATTCCTTGAAGGTAATTGCATAAATCTTCCTGGTTGACATTAGGAACGATTAGGGCAGTAATCTGTGAGGGAAAGCTGGTACACACCTAGGTGGTAGTGCGTAGTTCAGGAACCAGGGAGTGCGTGCATGTGTAGGTGCACGTGTACAGCCTCGTAAATCACAACTTTTATGAGGGAGAACACTCCGAACGGATATGACCAGCCCTTGATGCTTCTACCTTCGCCTATTCGCACTTGGTCGGCAGAAATGGCAGACATCAAGTGATTGGATTGGCCATAGCACCGGGTGAATAAATAAGAAACCGCTTCCTCCGTCTAGGGGCAAACGAACACCGTCCAGTCCGCTGATCTAATCGATTAAAGTGATAACTTTCTCATCTCCTGCTCGCTCAGATGACAAAACAAAGTGAAGACAACTTGTACTGAGCATGGACTATGCCACTTTACGCGTACTACACACAACCTAGCCCTTGCTTGGGCTCAGTCCCGCGCAAATGACTGACAAGCGAGCCCCACTATTATAGCATTGCACGCTGACTCTCAGTCCTCGGATTAACCCAGTTACTCCACCAAGCGACGACTTCTAGGCGCCAAATTTACTCTAATTGTACTTGTTACGGCTATGATCATGACTGATCTAGCCGGCCTCGATTATGTCACGGACGGCACCTCTCCATGCGTGACGATGGGCAGCAGCGGACCTGGAGAGATCTACCCAGTCTCTTCTCCAGCACCAGAGACGGAATACCGAAGATCCAAGAACCACTTCCATGTCCTGACGGACTGATTCGAGCCAGGTTTTGAGTTGACCCCCTCTCCTATGTTTCCGATTAGGTAATAGTTCTAAGTCGAGGGCAGTAGCACTGAGCTCCTGAGGTTGACGACGAAGAACGTGTCCAAACCACCTCAGTCGTTTTTTCTGAAGGGCCAGTGAGATCTTTGTGATTTTGTCGCAACGAGTGTGGACTGTCTCATTTGAGACGAAGTCGGTGTACTTCACTCGAA